TGATTTGCAAATTCTGAAAACCAATTTGCAAATATTTGCAAATTATTTGCAAAATGAGTACATAATTTTCAAAAAAATCGGTCATGGTGGGGGGGCCAACTTCACGCACGTGTTATACATTGCAAATTTAAGCTCAGCAAATCACGTTTAATTTCGTTACTTTAAAAACTTGAGTGAATCAACTTATTATGAAATTTGATGGTAAGAACATTATCTGTGTTCTTGGGAAGGTGTTTTACGGTAGTTTCATTTTTTGCAAGTTGTGCGTATATAATATTGTGTAAATTAAAAATGCTCTTAACTCACTTGGTAGACGATCAGGATCTTTTTTAAGATGGTGGAAGACCTATCGGCTCTCAAGGAAGTGGAGGGGATGGCAAGGCAGGCAGAGGAAGCCTAACATAGGGGAAAGCGGCGGACCCCGGTCGGCCCGCGAAATCATTAACGAACTCACCAGCTAATCAAAATGTACGTATATTATGTTAATATATCCCCATGTTGCTGTTACAAATCAATAATAACAGTTTTGTTATTTTGTTTCTGTTATTATCATTGTACTTTTAATACACGATGGTGACGCGTCGATGTGAATATGTGATGTGCAAACAGTGTAAGCAGCGTCGTCGATAAGACGATAACACAAAAACTTGATGATTGATATACCACCCATAGGGTATTGAATATACCTACCTAATATATTTATAAAATTATAACAAGTATCACACTTTTTCAAAGTATTCAAGTACAGATACAGACACTTATTTTGAAAAGTACCTATTTAAGTACAAATGCAAATTCTTTAAAAATATATTTATAAATATATTTTCAAATACTTTCAAATTTGTGTACAATTTTTTCCTTTGAAAGTCTACTGAACCATTTTTTAAAAACATTCTCATGTTTTACATTAATTGTATAGAGAATTTTATTTGGATGATTGTGGCCTCGTAGTATGTAATTGGTTTTCAAATACTAAAACCATATGTTGTAAGTACATTAAAAACAAAATGTTATAGTATTGCCTATGTATTATATTTTTTAATTAGACATTTAGTGTAGGTACCTACTAATTTACTATAATTTACTCATTTCTTTTCATTGACAAGGTATTTAAATTTTAATTTGGTTATAACTCACATTATTACATTAATAATATATATTATAATCCAGCCTGAGTAAATTAAAGTTAATTTCTAATTTAGCATAGTTTAGTTGATAGAAAATATTTTAAACAACTTAAAGTTAATAGTTATTCTATTTTTTTTTTAACTCAGTTCAGTTAAAAATAATATGGAAACTTGTAAATAACTTACTAACTTAAGTTATTTTTTTTCATTTAATACATACAATTTTAATACCCAGTGATACATAGTATAAAATCATAAAAAGTAAATGGTTATGCAATATGCATCACCAGTAATAATTATTTTATATTCATTATTTATTACTTATCTATAAATGTACGTAACTTGGATTTGATTAAAAGTAGGTAACTCGATTTTATCAATAATAATCAATGAACTTAAAAATTAAGCTAATGAAAATTATATTCTTAAAAGTTAAGTTAAAAAGCTAAAACCAACTGAATTTAACTTTTTAACTTGCTTATGCCCGGGCTTGATTATTAATGATGACTATTAGTTATTAGTTACCTATATTGTTATAGATTATTTTATATTACTCAGGATTTTTATTTTTATTTTACCAATGTGATTAAATTTATAATCAAAAATACATAAACTAAAAAGAGAAAGTATTTAAAAATTAGTGTTTGATTTTAAATAGAATACTTCGAGAAAATATTTAAAATACATATTTGTGTACCTACTTAAATAGTATATATTTAAATACTTTTACTAAAATACTTTAGATTGGTTAAAGTTTAAAGATAATAACAGTTAAAAGCTTAACATTTTAGAACAAGGTTCCTGATAAATTTACTAGAGTAAATTTAAAAATAACGAAAATACAGACACAAACTGTCTTTGCTTGTAGTCATATATTGAGCCTTTAACCTAACCTATGGTGGTAGTTAAGTGAGCTCCTAAAAATGTGATTGTTTTGGTAATAAAAAACAAAAAAATCATATTTTTGGCCTGGAATTAGGTTGCATTTTTTTTTGTTTGTAAGTGAAGCAAAAATTTAACAAACAATTGCACAGTTATAACTTTATTCATATGACTAAAACTGTAGTAAAGGTACATAAAACATAATAGGTTTTATAAAAAAAAAACTACTCATCTAATATAAAGCAAATTTTAAGTTGGTACAACATTGATTGCATTTTGATAATTATAAAATAAACCTCAATGGTAACAATCAACAATAATTATTTCATTCAAAATAAAAATAAAACAAAACAAACTATAACAAATAATAATAAAGATAATGATGATGATAATTATAAATTAAAATATAAATCATACTACTATAATGAATGTTAAAGAATAATTGCATTTCCCGTATCCATTTCTTGTAACAAATTACAATTTTAGAATATAATTTTTAGCAAAACCAGCAACTAAGATAAATATAAGCATAGATGATAGGATTAATAAGTATTTTAATGTTGATTGCTTTCACTGGACAAAACAAATAGCATAAGTAAAATAATATTTATGCCACCACTTAATTAATTTATTAAAATACAGTATTAATAAAGACTGGAAGAATAACTGTGATTTTAAAATTATATATTTATATATAAATCATAATCAATATTCACTTCTAGAAAGAAAAAAAATAATATCTATGCCACAGATTCTACACTACATTATTTAGGACAAAAAAAAAAGAACATAATATCTACAATATTCTAGCCAAACTTATTTTGTATTATATAATATTCTAATATATCACATTTATAGTGAACGAACAAACCAATTTCAATGATGCAATGTAACGACATTCCTGAAATGTAAACGTGTTCGTATTGTGTACCGTCTCCATTTATAACATATTTTGAACATGACTTTGTGTGCTGTGCACTTACTAATCATTATGTACAGCATCTTATATTATTATTACAAATTAATAATATACTTAGGAAGTTATTTAAATTTTAAAGAACAATAGAGTAAAAATAAAAAACAATGATTATTGTAAAATGTTAATTACCTAGGTATTTTAAAACACAGCATTTTATTGTCAAATGTTAATGATTATCACTATAAGTAGGTACTTTAGATAAAATATAGTTAAGTTACAGTACTTATGCTTACATTTAAAATTACAAAACAAAAAATAACAAAATATTTTTACTTAAATGTATAGTTTGTAATACAATGATATATTACTAACAAAAAATACTAAAACTGAATATCTAATATATTATTTAATACAACAATATAATATATATGTATGTGTTATGTTTATTGTCTCGATTACTAACCCTGAGGTAATTTAAAAGTAAACTGATTTACGTATTGGGTTTTAAAGGGTATTTTTACCCTGTAAAAAAAGTATAATAATATGTAAATTACTTTTAATTTTTAAATAATTATAAGCATAATTATTTTTATATTCTCAGAATAATTTAATGAATATCATTGCAAAACCCCCGTGCCACATTGTATACATGAAAGTTAAAGAAACTTTTAAGTACAATTAGCTAAGCCTATACGATATACATTATGCATATATCAATGTATGTTATAAATTTATTGCACAATAGGAAATTCTAACAAGTCTAGGAAATGTGAAAAAAATGTCTTTATAAAAGACAAAATTATAATAAAACAATATGAAGTCTTAAAAATGCATTATACATACAAATGTATGCTATTTAAGATTTATACACATAATCTACTCACTTTTCTAAAATAATAAAATTCCCAAAGAATATAAGAAAAAAGTTGTTCTATTAATTAAATACCAAAAGTAAGTTAAGAATATTTAAAAAAGTTAAAATTATAGATTAACTTGGCAATATGATCTTTAGAAAAATATAATTGCTGTGAATAAATCAATATAATTACTATTTTTAAACAGACTAAAAAATAATTACTAATATTTTTGCTAACAAAATGAAAGAATATAAATTATTTTAACATGCAGTCCATTATAATATAAAGTTGCTATAATAATTAGTTGAACTGTGATGAGAAAGTCAAATATTAATTCTAGTGGAAGCCCAACCAATAACAGCAAGACAAATGTATAAACATAATTCAGTAAATTAAAACAATTTTGAGATAAATTGTAATGAAGATGAGAAAATATTTTTATTTTTATTTCCTAATAATAAGTGATGTATCAAATATTTGATAAATACATCAAAAAGATATAAAAAACAAAAGTATAATAGCATTGTTATTTTTATTTCTAACCCAGAATGTTTACTCAAACATAAGTCTTCAACAAAATTAATTTTTTCAACTATTATTATACTATTAAAATTCATAATAGAAACTTGTATGTATCCAGACACCCTGATTAGTAATTAAAAATAAGTAACTTTATTAGTTACATAATTATATATATGTAATGAAAAGAATGTGTTGATTTATACAGATTTTCAAGTAAATGATTTACAGTAAAGTAGTTGAAGCCTTTTGTATTTATTATTTCATTAGACCAATATTGAGAAGGTTAGTTTTCATTCATTATAATTTCCAAATTTACATTTTTAATGAACATATGATTTGTCAACTATTTTAAGCTAGTATACAAATCTTTTTTTTAGGAGTCCTTAAAGAGGTATAAAAGGTTTTGAAAAAACAACAATTTTTATCAGAATAACATACATAACGATTTTACTAAATATTTCTTCTTTAAAAATTAAATAATTCTCTATATCCTAATAAATTTGTACTATGGTAAACCAATTTTTAAGTATACTGGTAGTGATCAAATATTGCTTGAACTGTATATTTTATAATACCGAAGTATTAATATAAAGTATACATAATATTTGAAAAAATATATATAATACATAGTATAAATAGTATTTATTAAGGCTTTTGGTTTTGGCTAAATTAAAAATGGTAGATATCTATGTATCATATGTGTACATCATACACACAAGTTTTACAAAGTTGGATACAGGATATTTTTCAATTAATTATTTTATGTATTAAGTGATAGTATAGGTAAGTATTCATAAATTATTATGCTTCAATAGATTTTGATGGTATCATAATATTGTAATTCATATTATATCGATATCACAGAATTCTGGTACATACTGGTATGTTGCTATATTGTCACATACCAATTAAAGTGTAGCAATACCAGTTTTATATTTCAATACTATTAACCCTCTTTGATAAAATCGTATTAGTGTATCTAAAATATCTGGATAAACAAGCTTCTATAGTAAATATTTTTAAATATTGTTGTGATTTAAAAATAAATCAACTATTGTCAGTCTAATTATAATAGCAACTTTAAGTATGACTGTATTACTATCAAAAATTGGATTCTTCAAAGACATAAATTATAATATTTATTTCTACACACCTTTTAAATATTTACATAGCTACATTGAATTATGAATCAAAATATAAAAAGTTTACAAGATTATAAAATATTTATAACAATATCCAAAATAAATACAATTTTGGAATTAATCAATCACCAACTTTTTGGAAGACTGGTTACATCAAATTATAAATTACAATTAAATTATGAAAATGAGTTTTATAATATATTTTTAATTTAAATGAATTTACTAGTAAACATGGTATACCACTACGCTTACTATTCCATTTTACTAAATATTATTAATAAATTATCAATTATACTTTTGTACATGCCTCATTTGCAAGGTCTACTTTTAAATTGAATATAGTTCTTTATTTACTTTTATTCATCCCTGCAATTATTTTATACGTATAAATGAAATAAATATTGATATTCTATTAAAACTTATTTAAAAACAGAAACAAGATATTAACACAAAAATTATTGCCAACTAGTAATGGTAATATGGTATCCTCATCATTGCTTGTTTTCTGGAGAGCAAACATTCATAACCATCAACCAACATTACACACCATGTCTATTGTCTATGAAGATCTAATATTACACTTCATAAACTAAAAATAACCATCAAGACAGCAAATTATTGTACAGAAATCTCAAACAAAAAAAAATTATTTCCAAAGTGTGAAAAAGGTGCTATGATTATTATTTTAATTTTAAAAGAACATCATATCCATGTGTTATATTTCATTTTACAAATGGACAACATAGTAAAATAATTTACTAGCTAAAGTTACTAGCTAAAGTTACAGTTTGTGGTTTTAGTTTATAAGAACAATATCTACTTATAATGTTTTTTCATGATATTTTAATTTTGAAGTGAGTTAAGTCAATGTAAAATATTTAAATTTTACATTAATACATATAATTTGTTTAGAAAAGATATAGAGAATTTAATTTGAAAAAGTATATGTAAATTTACAAGTGATAAAAATGGTAAAAGTCCAAGGTTAAATAATGAAATATCTTAAAGCCAACTTATTATTAGTTAATATGATTGTTATTAATTCTATTGTTGTATACTTGACAAATTTAAATCTTTCAATAATAACAATTAAGAACTCATAATGGATCCATTTTTCTGTATCAGTACATATTATGAATATTTATAATTATTCATAATAAAATAAATAAATGATTCAGTTAAATTATTGAAATTAACACACTATTACCTTTATTTTTGTATGTTTGAAAGTCAAAACTTGTATATTTATTTACTTTTAAGTAGTACTTAAATATAGTGGCAAGAAAATAGAAAATACTGGTATGATTATTATAATACTAATTATTTTGGTGTTTATTAACAGTTGATAAAAAATATATCTCTTTATAATTCAGGAAAGGCGTTCTCCATTGCAATTAATTAGAGGGTCAACACATTTTCTTTCAGTAAAAAATTGGAAAAATTTAGGGTCAATTTTTGTACTAGTAAAAATTTACAGCACTTACATCTCTTTAATTTAAAGAAAGGAAAAAATTCGTAGAGAGAACACTGATATTCAAATTACACAGACAACTAAATTGTTCTTAGCATTACATTTTAAAATAGTTATATCCACTGTAATATTAAAGCTGACAACACCAAATTGAAACTATTAACTCAAATTTACTATTTTGTCTATTTGTAAGAACAAGATAACACAAGCAAGAGTGACATCCTCTCAACTATTTTTTATATTTTATTTTAAAACTCATTAAAATTACGTTTAATATTCATAGCAACTATCGAGTCGGAGAGTTGTTAACATTATCTGAAATACTATTTTTTAGATATCAATTAATAATTAAAAAAACAAAGGTTTTTATCAAATTTCTGGTTATTGAAATACTGAGGTATTCAGAAAACCAAAAAAATTGTAACTGTTAACTTAATTTTCATTGAAATAAAATCATAAAAATAGAGGGACATTACTATTTCATAAATATATCAACTAATAATATTTTACAAACTCAAATAAAACTGAATTTTAAATACGTGAAGGTTATAATGGGAATATAAACCATAAATATGACTAACCATGAATATTATGATACAAAGTTTTTTGAAACAAAATCTTCATACTCTGAAAAAAAACATAAAATATATAACATATTACATTTGATTTAAGATTTGTAATTTCTAGAAAAACACAAATTAAATTCAATAAATTTTATTATAGGTAAATATGATTGTTTACCTGTACTTGAACATTTTAGTTTTAAAATTTGAGGTATAATTGCGTCAATTTGAAAACTACCCAACAAACTAGAAAAGAATATTTCTTCTATGATATTAGGTTGTAATGATCGTAGAGTTGGAAGTCGTAACAATAATATGGCTATACGGTGTTCATCATTGCATTCTTTGATTAAATGCTGTTTCAATTCTTTGACAGCTTTTTCTTGTAGTTTGTATAACTGTTGTCTTTCAGAAGGATTATCTGTTAACAAAATGTGGATATTAGCAACATATTACCTATCTACAATTTTCTCATTTAAAATTATTTATTTAGAATTTACCAGTGTTAAATAAGGATATTAATTTTAAATAAGCATATTCCACTTCATTCACTTCAATATTTTCCATTTCCGTAATATAATCTTGTATTCTATTGAGGTAATCAATGAGCTAAAAATACATATACATTAGTATATTTTCAATTATAACTAAAAAAGTTATGCTTTTAATTTTAATTTTAAAATGTCGGGACTTAATTGACAAGACTTTTCAAAAATATTCAAGTCACTGATTTTGTAGCAATTATTTACTTTTTACAAATAAATCCTTATAAATAATTATGATTAGGGCTCAGAACTTAATGCACTCAAAAAGTACTTATAAACTTAAAAAAGTACAAATATGCTCTAAGAATATGCATTTATATATATTTTTTTTTACACAAAGTTTTCATTTGCAGAAATATTTTATAAAATTATAAATATGGAAAAAACAAAGTTATAAAAATAATTTTGATTTTTAATTTTTAATCATTATTTAAACAACAACAAAATTATTTGAAATTTTCCTTGAATAAAATAAATACGTATAAGTCAGAACTGACAATAATATCTCGGCAGTAGGTATATTAATGCCATCAGCCCTTCAACAATAATAATTGAATTATTTCCCTAGAAAAGTATTTATAGAAAATCATTGTATTTATTATATTTATATTGCAGCTATTTCTATTTTATATTTATTTAATATTTATATAATATTCTATTTTAGATAAAAAAAAAGCTGTAGTTATAAATATTTATACATTATATTAATCAATAGAGGAAAAACATTGTTTTTAATGCCAAATGGAAATTTAAAAAATACAATCCAAAGATATTTAATCAATTCTTTCAATATGAATCTATTAATGTTTTTATTTACAAATCTTCATACATTTTAATTTATAAAATATACTATAAAAATATGTAAAACTAAGAAATATGCTCTAAACTCTAAAAATCATTGAATGTGCAAAAAAAAAAAGCACTATAAACTTTTAATAAGTTTTTCGTAGTGTCTTGGAATGAATTTCTAGCTCATTTAGTAATAAATCTAACGGTCCAAAAAAAACAAGCAAATGCAACAACTTCCGAGCCCTAATTATGATTATATAAATTTCAATTTCATAGATATTTAAAATTGTTTGAATCAATAACTTATCTATAAGGCTACATGTCAAGACTAATATATGTGGTACAGATTACGTTTATATGCTATGTGCAGGTATGATCAGTGTTCACTTAGCTAGTAGAAGTTACCCTATTGTATTGACTAACATAATTATTTATTATATTATTATTTTTTGATTGATCGAAAAAAAAATTCTATGTTCAAAGAAATGAAATATAAAATGTGAACAATGCAACCATAACATTAAAAAATATAGCTAGTACAAATCATGATAAAATTCACTTTCCATAAATACAACAGAATAAACTTAATGTAGATAATTCTATGCCAGTAATTAACCCTTTCACTGTTCCAGATGTACTATTACTTGCAAAATATTTACACCATTCACTGCTCCAGAGTCCAAACGGACTACTTTTCTGTATGTTATAATAGTATAACTTGCCAGTAACCGTACATAAAATTTTAGAAAGCAATGGATTACGTTATTTTAAACTTAAATAATTAGATTATATAATAGATCACAAATTTGAAATTTTACAAAAATAACATTTTTTATTTTATGCAGCATACACATGTTGTAAAGCATAAATAGTGCAGCAATGAAAAGGTTAAGTATCAACTAAAATTAGCTTCCATAGTATTTTCTATTTCCATCAGTATACTAGCAGGTGATTATCAGAAGCAACTTTATAAGCCTTATTAATCAGCAAACTGTCTAGATTTTGAGTAAAAGTAATATCAATTGGAAAATATAACTGTTCCATTAAATAAAGGGAATTTATTGTGTGAACATTGTTTCAATAATTGAAAAAGTTCAACATTGGTCGGTTATGGAAGATTATAATGAATGTGTAATGATACCTATCTAGTTAACCCTATAAAAATGCACACAACTAAGGAAATAGTTTCCATGGTAATAATAGTGGCATAGATATTCATGGGAAACCACTTAATTAGTTAGTGTTTTTTTTATCCAAATTCAACTTTAATTAGTAAATTTAATAATTTACCTCTTTAGCTTTACTGGAGTTAGGTGAGTTGTGAATTTCATCATTTTGTAAATGAGTTATCATAGAACTAAGTACTGGTATCAATGATAATGCTTGTGCGCATTGAGTTAAACCCAAAATAAACAGTTGTGACCAAGAATTTTTTAGCAGACTTAGTTGTACTTCAAACCTAAAACATTTATTTTAATTAATTAATAAATTCTTGTACATTTTTATTTACAGCAATAATAATAGTGAGTCTTACGTTAGAAGCTGAAAAACTGGAAGGCTCTGAACCCAGTTTATAGACAGGAATAATAGTCTTGAAGCACTTTCACAGATAAAATGTAGGTTTAAGTATGCGTATTTAGGACTGGGTGATTGAAATGGAAAATTAACGTTGACAGTTGGCATCACATCTTCAGAAATATCTAAGACGTTACTCTGTACTTCAACCTCATATGATGAATCAGTACCATTAGAGTTTTGCTAAATAGAGAAATATTGTTTTTATTAAATTAAATAAAAAACATTTTTTTTTTTTATTCTTTAATCGACCAATTGGCTTTATATATATTACTTGTGTAGCATTTGTCATAGAATCCAATGTAAGTACTAATAGGCTTTTGTTGTCTTGATTAAATGGTTTAATATCCTGTTCATTATTTGGAGAATGGCTAACTGATGACTCTTCATCTTCAGCCATATAATAATCCATATAATTCTGATTTCTGATAGAAGAATCATTTTCATCTAAAAAAAAAGTTCTATTAAAAAGGCAATTTAACAGTTAAGTTAAACTCACTATTTTGTATAAGACTGATAAATATATTAAGTTATTAGAACTAATTGACTTTATAAATGGATAGTATATTACTTGATCCTTGTAGTAAATTCAATGCTGTTTGATCATTATATACGGAACGATTTCCTGCATATGGGATTTCTGTTTTAATGAAATGCACATCATTTTTGATAAATGGCATTTCATTTTTAATAAATGAATTATTTCCATATGAAAATGTAGGAATGTTATTATTGTCCGGGCTACTTGACATATTATGAATAGATTCTATTCTATCTGTAACTGGTTTCCTTTCATGTTGCACAGCTAATAAAGAACCAAACTAATTATATCTTTGACATTATACCAATTTCACTAGTTTTAATACATGGTGTAGTTTCTATAACCATGAGAAATACAAACAAGACATTTCTAAGCTGTGAACACAATGTTTTTTTTTTTACAAAATATGATGGATGAACTTTAATCTGAAATTATAACTAGTGTGACACAAATATGGTTAAAAACATAATCAATATAATTATATTTTATTTTGCAAATATTTAAAATACTTATTTTTAAGTGTATTTTTTTTATGCAATTGTAATTTATAAATATAATATACACCTCCTGTATTATATTTTATATGATATTATATATCAATATAGTGGTTATGTTCAATTAGTCATAAACTATATGTGCTTTTAGAGACATTTTTAAGACATTAAATACACAGCTATAGAAATATCTCATGAAAAAAAAATGCATTAATTGAAAATCTATAAAAAATATACTTAAGATTATTCTTAATCTCTACAATAAACATTTATTCTTACAATCACTTCTCATTCCCATAGACAGGCATTTTTGAAGACGGCAATATTGACAACGGTTACGGTGATTTTTTGTTACTTCACACATTTTGGTACCTCGACATTGATAGCCAAGTTGCTTACGAATAGATCTTTTAAAGAAACCTTTACATCCTTCACAACTTATTGCTCCATAATGTCGGCCTAAACATTTAAATACATTTTTATTATCACAAAATATAAATATACCTATTATAAACAATACAACTGAATTGAATGATTAATAGCTAACACACCTGATGCTCGATCTCCACAAACCACACATGATTCAACAGGTAAACAAAAAGAATGCATTTTGTCGTTGCCAATCATGTCGTCAATATTCATAATTGTGTTATCACTTAACCATTAAATGTTTGTTTTGTTAAGTTCCTAATATCAAGATAATAAGCTGTAAAATCAAAAAAAGTATGTAAGTATGGGTTGTATAAAATGTAATATTATTTTATAATAATATTTTACTTGGCATTTTAATTATTATTACTGATAAAATATGAAAAAAAATTAGGTCAATAAATAGTACTGTTTATATTTTAATAGATAAGAAGATACAATTTAAATTATCAAACAATTCAAAATTGAATATTTTCAATACCAACAATTATATCTAACAGAGATATGTAATAGGTATTTTGTATAAAACAATTTTATATTAAATAAATATAACATAACATTTAGGAGGTTACATAGGTATCATCAAATATTTAAAGTATAAACTTTATTAGTTCATAATATGTTTATGTAAAAAGAGTAATTAATTAAGTATTAAGACATTTTAAATGTATATGAATCAAATAACCATGTTACGTTATATGTGTGTGAATGATTGTTCAGGTTAAATTTAAAGTGATGACAATTTTTCAAAAAGGCAAAACTGTAATTCTAACACCAATATAATCTCAATTTGGTGATTGTAATAAGAAAACAACCGAGTTAATATACCAGCTTACATTTAGCATACATAATGTTTAAAGAAAAATGTACCTAAATTAAATCAATACAAAAGTGTGAACGTGCAATGGATCAATTGAATTGGAATACATTTTTCAAAAATTGAAACAATGTAGGTAAGTAAAAAAGTGGGTAACCAAGAATAGGAAGGTAGAATGTAGTATTTACAGGATACTGATAATTACAACTAGCAAACACTTTATACTGTCCACAAAAATATGATTGTTGTAGAATGGACTTCAAATGATAAGACAACACGCATCATTCTTTTTTGAAATGAGGACACAATAATAACAAAAGCATTCACAATATTTTGTTACGTTCATGGTGAGCTGAAAAACCAAAACGATTTTAAGTGTCTGTACCTACCTCTTGGTCTGTGAATCTTTCAGTACGAACGCCATGAATACAAAAAAATTACAAGGTAGACATAGACCCAAATACATTAGAAAGTATTGAGAATCAAAAATAGAATAAAAAAAATAATGAAAACAGATAATTTTATGAAATAAAAAGAAATAAAAAAAGAAACTTCTTGTGCGACGACGACTTCGAAAAGTAATTGTCGTTTACACGCGACAAGCCGTTCAGTCGAGTGTCGATGGAGAGTCGCAACTCGCAATGATGAAATATATTTAACAATCGGACGATTTCCTACGTTATGGAAATCACATGATAAGGGAAAAGTCACTGCGTGTGATACGAAAGAGGTCATCAGCTGATAATCAGTGGCGTTCGGGCTTCAGAATCGGAATGTGCCGTTGCCGCCGCCGCTGTGGCCACACTACCGTGATAACGATATGACGATAAAGCAACAAAAAATCGAAAACATCGTAAATACTAAATTATCATTAAATTCTAATGATCATATTATAATTGTACTATTATAATAGTTGTAATTTTTCAGTCTCTGCGCCATGTATTAAGATGTATCTTAATTCTTAATACGAATTAACTTAATAAAATTATCTTAATTCGTAGTCTGTACTAGTGTACTCACTGACGACTGATGGTAATTTATAAGTAATAAAGATTAACGATGATAGTTATACATTGGTATAATATTATTATGCAGCGAGTTTATTTGGAATAATAGATATTAGATACTCCGTGTGTAGTTTATTGCCGTGTACCGTGTACGCTACTTTGTTATTACTCATTAGTCATTGCTATTTGTATTATTCACCATAATTGGTGTTTGGTAACAGAATATTGTAATAATTTGTAGTCTTGTTGGATATATGTCACTGACATTGTATATTTGTATATACATGTACTAATCACCACACTAGTACAACACTAGCAAATTGAATTTAAAAGCCAGAGCTGTCGCCTGTCACCCCTCTTCAACAAATGATTGAAATTGTGTCTAAATACCTATAGTAAAATATATCTTTAAAAAAAAAAAATGTTTATTAATTTTATTTAAAAATTGTAGTTTTTAATGCTTTATATCGATTAATAAAAACAATTACCTATTAAATTAAATTTTGTAGTGTTAGCATGTAAATCTTGAAAAATAGCATTTTCAAAATAAATCCAAAATTTACTAATATTTTTTACAATAATGTATATTTTTTGATGACATGTAAATTGGTACCATATACTATACCACCACAAAAAGAAAAAAAAGATGAATGTTCTTGGCTATCTTTTTAATCTCAACTACCAAACTCATAAAAATTGATATTACTTTAGATGCAGGTTTTTGCTGTACAGGGCGACACAGTAACAACAATTTTAGATAGTGAAAAACACTACTTATATTATATTCAAAATAGCAAGGCTGGGTATTAACAACAACAAATAAAAAGAAAAAGAAAAAATATGGAACCAGAACCTATAACATTAACTTCACTTGTAATACCCAATGCATTGAATAATACATTTAGCTGTCAACTTTTTCTTATAAACGAATACCGTAGTTGGGATGACAAAACTCTGATACCTATTTACAACAAAAGTTAATCTTCGTAAGCTTGAGATCACTAAATATTTCATTATGGGTGGAACATTCAAGATAGTACCAACCATATTCTATCAGTTATATTTGATTCACTCCCCATGTAGGACATAATACTAACTCTAAAATTGTATGGTTGGTTTTTTCTCTTATTAGTAGCAAATCTAAAGAATGTTATACACGTTTGTTTCAAGATTTACTGGATTATGCCGAGGAAAACAATATACCTTGAACAAGCAGCAATTTAAGCAGTCAAACAATAGTTTTCAAACACCCATAGGGCTACAGCCATTAGAAATTTGCGATTTCTCTTACTTTTTTGATACCTGTAGAGTGTAGGTATTCACTATTCACTGAATAATTTAGTAATTTAGAACATGTATCAGGCCCAGAAATCTGATAAGGTGGTTCGAAGATAATTATATTCTTGATCGTAAAAAGGAAAACCCTACGATATGTCAATATCATTTGTGGTTGACCCCTATTTTCTCCAGAAATATGGTCTGTTTTTGGACAAAATATGTCAAGAACACAACACAATATGGAAGCATGGCACAGACACTGGGAACGTTTGGCTGGTGTTCACATGTTGACGTTTTTTGACTTCTCCAAGAGCTCCGAAATAAAATATGAAAATTATGTATGAGGCTTTCCTTTGATGTGAATTTGTTTTGAAATCAAAACAAATCATTGAACGAATTTGCCATGTTGCTTGGGGGTGAAGTGAGAAAACAAAATAAAGTACATTGATGTCTACTTAATATTAACTTAATCCATGAATATGATAGATTACATAGATGACATCAGCAATAATTTTATTTTTGATTACAAGCCTGAGTAATAATCGAAATACATAAAAAATATTTGGCGTAAAAATCTTGTACCTAACATTTGTAATTGTATATGATCTAAGGTAAATTAAGGTAGGATGTGGACCCCTACTAATGGGTATTTATAGTTTAAAATTTAACAAAATTCGTGATTATCTTGAAAATGTGTAAACTATTTTGTAGTAGATAAATAAAATGTTTAGTTTTTACAGCTAGATAAGGATTGAAAATTAATGATAAAATACCTAACTCATTATTAGTTCAGAATTGTTTTTCGTATACAATGATATTATAATGTCATTGAATTCAAATATAACAACACCCATTACAGTTATCAGAGACAGCTAAAAAATGTATTTTCCTAGGGGTGGGAGGGGGGTTAAAGGGCAAGTCAATTTGTTGAAGAGGCAAGTTCAACAAGTTCAACAATAATTGTACTTATGCCAATAGAAAACAAAAATGATTTATGTATCAGTATTCAGTGAACACTATATTACTATATGAGAGAGTTTCTGCATTACATAATAACATACCTATAACATTTAATACATATTAATAGTAATGTAAAAAAAAAAAGGCAATTCAAATAAGATTTAAGTATAAAAACATTTTTAAGTGTATAAGTGCATTTCTGCATTACCTATATAATCTATGGATAATGTCAGTGGATAACTTTTCAACATTAGCTGAGTAGGGTTATCAGAAACAACTTGGTCCACTTTGAGGTAATAAAGATTTAATGCTTGCTTGATTTTCTTTTATATGTACAGTTTTTAATAAATTATAATCACTATTTTCTGAATCTGTTGACAATTCGTCACAACAGCCTATAAAACATTTAACTTTAAAAATCTTGTCAAGTATTAAATAACAGGTTCAACGATGGTTTTTATTCAGTTAGTAATATACAATTTAAAAAAAAACTGATTAGGTAAGTTATTAAATAGTAAGTAGTATCAGTAATATCATATATATATATATGTTGATGAATGTGTAACGTATACCTACATATATTCTTTATCTATGTATAACTAATTAATATTATTTATATAATATGACAATTAGTAAGTGATGTTAGTGATGTAAATATTTTGAGTGTATTAAGTTTTTTTTCATCTTTATTAAGAAAATAATGTACCTGCACAGCTACACCAGTACTCCTTAAGTCTATTCACCAATATACCACTAAATGAGTACTGTTTGTTACTTACTTGTGTTTATGTCTGAATCACTTTGAACATCCCATGATTGCACTAAATTGGTAATTTCACTCACTGTATTTGTACTTTTTTGATTTAAGTGATTTAACGTAGTAAACTGATGAGATATTTATATATTATTATGATTTTTAATAAATGGAAGACTTCCGCGGTTAAGATTTGAAAAAAAAAATAATCAAAATTTATCATTAAATTACAATCGTCGCTATCAACAGTCACCTTTATTATTCTTGTTTTTCAGTTTTTGAAATTTATAAAATGTGAAATCGAACAACATTTACACCGACGAATATTTATACTAAGTAGTACAAACGAATAAACGAAATGCACAGGTGTACACAGTGTGTGTACTACACACACGCGGCTTAAATATATTTATACATATTATTATTTATTTCTACGGTTTATAGGTATTTAATATTATTTTTTAGAATACAAATTAATAATTTGTTGTTTTTATGTTCAATTTTATGAATTTATCATAGTGATATTTTTAATATTTAAATATTAAAAATCCATATTTTGTCCGAGGAGTGATGAGACGATGTATCTTTATTGTACTCATTGAATCAGTATATTAAACAAAGTTTTTTTTTTTGTGAAGATCGGTATTATGATGGTTGTGGTGGGTGGGTGGGTTGAGGCGTTAAAATATGTGTGCCTTCGCTGGCATTACCACCTTAACACGGCACTGGGGCTAAGTGTTTTATTTTATGATTGTTTTTACATGAATAAACATTTTTCCATTCAAAAACTGTGTTCGAGTTTTAATTGTTCTCTATCTTTATATATTTTTAAATAGGGATTAAAAAACCAAATGTGTTTATATCTAGTTTATTATCTTATTATTATTTATTAATTTAGTACAAAACAATAACACCAAATTAATTTTATAATTTAATATTTTACTCAATTTTTACGTATAGGTGGGTACCTAATTTTTAATTTTTTTGTACTTTTATCAACTATGAATACTAGTGTTCCAAACGAGTACCTACCTAGATCGAAATATTAATTTATTCTGGAATTATTCGAGAATTTTCATCGGCTGTTAAGAAATTACGTAAAATATATAACGAATAACTGGAAAACTTATTTAATAATGAATGTTTATATAGTCTTTATTAAAGACATTAGAAGACAAGAGCTGAAGCCGGCAGACGAAGAAAGCCACTACTTGTACTTTTTTAACTGGCAATATTACTTATTATGGTTACGACTTTACGAGAGGTGCGTAATACCTCGAGATTGGAGTACGGAACTGTTGCCCGCCCACCTCATAAAGGTTTTCGCAGTTCTGAGTTAAGACAGGAATCTCGAATTTTGGATTACATATGGTTACAAAACGTTTACATAATCTTGTGAACATTTCAAATCAAACAAATCATTTTTAAGGATATCGGGTGATGAGGTGACGTCACTCCCAGCACACGGAATTTAAGTTCGGTATTTTGAACTTCCTTGTAAGTTACAAGAACAGTTACTGTGGTTGCATTTCTTTATAAATTGATTACATAATATTGTGAAATTTCGGTACAAGTGACGGAGTTGGATTTCACTAAAAAGATATGATTTTTGTAAATGAACCAGAGATATACAAACAGAAATATTTTGATAATAAAGACGTTTCAAAGATAATGTTTAGAACTTAA